GTTCCATCTAGTCACAGCCTTATTTTTCAGGATGTTATAAGCCCATGTGCTTTCGTAATTGTAAGGTGGATTAACTTTCATTTACCACCACAGCTTTTGCTAGGAAAGAAAGCTGTGAATTAACAAGTTGGGTTACCATGCAGAAAAATCCTTAAGGATGCCTAGATCTTCTGCTGCCCAAACACATGCTCAGCTTTTTGCTTGGAAATTTTTTTTATTTTTGATCCCTTCTCCCAAAAATTCTGCTGGGAAGTTTTTGGATATTTCCCTTGAGAAAGCAAAAAGTCATGCAGGTCAGCCTGCCCCAAGAAATAAGGAGTTGTTTGGCACTGAATCAAAAAAATCTTTCATTTCCAGACAGGTCATAAGATTTATACTGATTCCCCCTCCTCCTCACTTTGCCATCGGCTGCAGCTCCCAGCCAACTGGCCCCTGAGCCAACGGGAATTAGGCAACGGCAGCTGCAGCAAGTGGAAACCGAGTGTGCACTCTGCTTTGTAGGAAGCATGGAGCATCCTGCCACGGTTTGTGTTTTGTCTCAGAAGATGTATTTTAAATTAGGTAAGTATAGAGGAGTTTATATAAGCTGCTTATTAGGAAATGTTTTTTTAAGTTAAAACCTGTATGTGATTACCTAAGGGCCTGACAGCAGGGTATGTGGCTCTCATACTGGGAAAATAAGAAGAAAGCTCCAAATACAACTAACCTCTGTATTTTACTTTGGTTGTGAAGAAAGTACAAAAATGACTTGAAATATTTGAGATGAAGGGACTGCTAAAACATGGCCACATATTTGGCTGCTTGCTTTACTTCCTCAGCCAAATTCTTCTGCCGTGGTTATGGTGCCGTTGATGAGGGACCCCGATGTACTCAGGATGACGGTCCTCTCCCCGGTGGGTGGCCGACTCAGCCAGCCCAGGGGGCTGTGGGCTGCTGGTGGTGCGCCCCAGGTTCTGGTGATGCTCACTACCTGCCCGGCAGCCTGGTCTGACCCTCAGGGAGCCTGGGAGCTGACCATGTCCTATATAATCCTCCGAGCACTGGGCTGGTAGGAAAGAACAAAGTGAGCAGGGGTTTACTTTTGTCAGAATTAAAAAAAAAACAAACACCAAAACCAAAAGAAATGACAAAAGACATCTCAACTGGAGGTTGAGAGTGGGGTCTTTGTGTCCTCTGCGGCTCTGGAAGCAGCCCTTGCAGGTTGCAGCCTGGGAGAGAGGAGGGGCGAGAAGCACACCGGCAAAAGTAGGATCCGAATATTACTGAAGGCCCGCTAGCTTGATTAGTTGAGCATCCTCAGTTTCATTATGCATTTGTCAAAAGCTGGGGATTAT